ATTGCTCGCTGACCCAGATCGTACCAAGCTTTGTTGAAATGCGTCGGTCCTCCGTGCTGTTTGGTCTTTTTATAGACGAAATGACCACATCCCTGTAGTTTGCGAGACCTACTGCTAATTTGTATGGGCTGCTCCACGCAACACGTCTTTACGTCCATAATATACATGTAGAGACTCTGCCCTTGGTTTCACTTGGTTTTTGGATGTCAGTCGGTCATCAAGTCGATGGCAGTTTCATTCCACCACGAACGTCCCATTCCAATGCGGACGTCCCATTCCAACGCGGACGTCCCATTCCAGCATGGACGCGGCGGACGCGATCGCATTGGACAACTGGCATCGCACGCACGAGGTCGGACCTAGGGCGTGAACTGAACACTGAAACGGCCGAATTTTGGCGGGAAATGGGCTCATATTTTGGCGGTACAACACGGCGACGGAGATTATTGCTCAGGTCGCATGCAACGCAACGGTTCCCGAGTCAAGCTTGCCTTTTCTTCCGGACGATATGCAACAAATGCAGAATCATTATGGAGTGGTCTGACCGCGGCGACGTCGCTTCTCTCTGTACACTGGACGCTAATGCACCCAACATTTGCTCACATTCCGAGATCACACCAAGATGTCTCGAAATACATCGGTTCTTGATACGGTTGCCTCTTTTTACAGAAGATAGGACCACATTTACAGAATGACTCGTCTTTGGCCACCTCGCTAGTCCACATGGGTACCTAATAAGCATCCAATATTTCTCCCAGACCGAGATCTAGGTGTGATCTCTCGAAATGCATCGGGCCATTGCCGTTCTACTCTTTTGGATACGATTCAGCGACTTCATCGCGTTGGGTGTTCCTTTGCGCGAACAAACCACGCTTCATTGCTCGCTGACCCAGATCGTACCAAGCTTTGTTGAAATGCGTCGGTCCTCCGTGCTGTTTGGTCTTTTTATAGACGAAATGACCACATCCCTGTAGTTTGCGAGACCTACTGCTAATTTGTATGGGCTGCTCCACGCAACACGTCTTTACGTCCATAATATACATGTAGAGACTCTGCCCTTGGTTTCACTTGGTTTTTGGATGTCAGTCGGTCATCAAGTCGATGGCAGTTTCATTCCACCACGAACGTCCCATTCCAACGCGGACGTCCCATTCCAGCACGGACGCGGCGGACGCGATCGCATTGGACAACTGGCATCGCACGCACGAGGTCGGACCTAGGGCGTGAACTGAACACTGAAACGGCCGAATTTTGGCGGGAAATGGGCTCATATTTTGGCGGTACAACACGGCGACGGAGATTATTGCTCAGGTCGCATGCAAC